TATATACCGTCCAGACACATGCATGTAAACACATATACCGTCCAGACACATGCATGTAAACATATATACCGTCCAGACACAAGCATGTAAACATATATACCGTCCAGACACAAGCATGTAAACATATATACCGTCCAGACACAAGAATGTAAACATATATACCGTCCAGACACAAGCATGTAAACATATATACCGTCCAGACACATGCATGTAAACATATATACCGTCCAGACACAAGCATGTAAACATATATACCGTCCAGACACAAGAATGTAAACATACATACCGTCCAGACACATGCATGTAAACATATGTACCTTCCAGACACAAGAATGTAAACATACATACCGTCCAGACACAAGCATGTAAACATATGTACCGTCCAGACACAAGCATGTAAACATGTATACCGTCCAGACACAAGCATGTAAACATACATACCGTCCAGACACAAGAATGTAAACATACATACCGTCCAGACACATGCATGTAAACATATGTACCGTCCAGACACAAGAATGTAAACATACATACCGTCCAGACACAAGCATGTAAACATATGTACCGTCCAGACACAAGCATGTAAACATACATACCGTCCAGACACAAGAATGTAAACATACATACCGTCCAGACACATGCATGTAAACATATGTACCGTCCAGACACAAGAATGTAAACATACATACCGTCCAGACACAAGCATGTAAACATATGTACCGTCCAGACACAAGCATGTAAACATGTATACCGTCCAGACACAAGCATGTAAACATATATACCGTCCAGACACAAGCATGTAAACATACATACCGTCCAGACACAAGAATGTAAACATACATACCGTCCAGACACATGCATGTAAACATATGTACCGTCCAGACACAAGAATGTAAACATACATACCGTCCAGACACATGCATGTAAACATATATACCGTCCAGACACAAGCATGTAAACATATATACCGTCCAGACACAAGCATGTAAACATACATACCGTCATGCTACAGGCATGTAAACATATATACCGTCCAGACACAAGAGTGTAAACATACATACCGTCCAGACACATGCATGTAAACATATATACCGTCCAGACATAATCATGTAAACATATATACCGTCCAGACACATGCATGTAAACATACATACCGTCCAGACACAAGAATGTAAACATACATACCGTCCAGACACATGCATGTAAACATATGTACCGTCCAGACACAAGAATGTAAACATACATACCGTCCAGACACAAGAATGTAAACATACATACCGTCCAGACACATGCATGTAAACATATGTACCGTCTAGACACAAGCATGTAAACATATGTACCGTCCAGACACATGCATGTAAACATATGTACCGTCCAGACACATGCATGTAAACATATATACCGTCCAGACACAAGCATGTAAACATATATACCGTCCAGACACAAGCATGTAAACATATATACCGTCCAGACGCAAGCATGTAAACATATATACCGTCCAGACACATGCATGTAAACACATATACCGTCCAGACACAAGAATGTAAACATATATACCGTCCAGACGCAAGCATGTAAACATATATACCGTCCAGACACAAGCATGTAAACATATATACCTTCATGCTACAGGCATGTAAACATACATTCCGTCCAGACACAAGCATGTAAACATATATACCGTCCAGACATAAGAATGTAAACATATATACCCTCCAGACACAAGAATGTAAACATATATACCGTCCAGACACATGCATGTAAACATATATACCGTCCATACACAAGCATGTAAACATATATACCGTCCAGACACAAGCATGTAAACATACATACCGTCCAGACACATGCATGTAAACATACATACCGTCCAGACACATGCATGTAAACATACATACCGTCCAGACACAAGCCTGTAAACATACATACCGTCCAGACACAAGAATGTAAACATACATACCGTCCAGACACAAGCATGTAAACATATATACCGTCCAGACACATGCATGTAAACATATATACCGTCCAGACACAAGCATGTAAACATATATACCGTCCAGACACAAGCATGTAAACATACATACCGTCCAGACACAAGAATGTAAACATACATACCGTCCAGACACAAGCATGTAAACATATATACCGTCCAGACACATGCATGTAAACATATATACCGTCCAGACACAAGCATGTAAACATATATACCGTCCAGACACAAGAATGTAAACATACATACCGTCCAGACACATGCATGTAAACATACATACCGTCCAGACACAAGAATGTAAACATACATACCGTCCAGACACAAGCATGTAAACATATGTACCGTCCAGACACAAGCATGTAAACATATATACCGTCCAGACACAAGCATAGAAACATATATACCGTCCAGACACAAGCATGTAAACATACATACCGTCCAGACACAAGAATGTAAACATATATACCGTCCAGACACATGCATGTAAACATATGTACCGTCCAGACACAAGAATGTAAACATACATACCGTCCAGACACAAGCATGTAAACATATGTACCGTCCAGACACAAGCATGTAAACATGTATACCGTCCAGACACAAGCATGTAAACATACATACCGTCCAGACACATGCATGTAAACATACATACCGTCCAGACACATGCATGTAAACATATGTACCGTCCAGACACAAGAATGTAAACATACATACCGTCCAGACACAAGCATGTAAACATATGTACCGTCCAGACACAAGCATGTAAACATACATACCGTCCAGACACAAGAATGTAAACATACATACCGTCCAGACACAAGCATGTAAACATATGTACCGTCCAGACACAAGCATGTAAACATGTATACCGTCCAGACACAAGCATGTAAACATATATACCGTCCAGACACAAGCATGTAAACATACATACCGTCCAGACACAAGAATGTAAACATACATACCGTCCAGACACATGCATGTAAACATATGTACCGTCCAGACACAAGAATGTAAACATACATACCGTCCAGACACAAGCATGTAAACATATGTACCGTCCAGACACAAGCATGTAAACATGTATACCGTCCAGACACAAGCATGTAAACATATATACCGTCCAGACACAAGCATGTAAACATACATACCGTCCAGACACAAGAATGTAAACATACATACCGTCCAGACACATGCATGTAAACATATGTACCGTCCAGACACAAGCACGTAAACATACATACCGTCATGCTACAGGCATGTAAACATATATACCGTCCAGACACAAGAGAGACATATATACTGTCATGCTACAGGCATGTAAACATATATACCGTCCAGACACAAGCATGTAAACATACATACCGTCCAGACACATGCATGTAAACATATATACCGTCCAGGCACAAGAGAGACATATATACCGTCATGCTACAGGCATGTAAACATACATACCGTCTAGACACAAGCATGTAAACATATATACCGTCCAGACACAAGCATGGAAACGTATATATTGTCATGCTACAGGCATGTAAACATACATACCGTCTAGACACAAGCATGTAATTATATTTTCCGTCTAGACACAAGAATGTAAACACATATACCGTCATGCTACAGGCATGTAAATATATATACCGTCCAAACACAAGCAACCAAACATTTTCAACCAAACATATACAAGGGCGTATAACATCTTTATCAGCCACCTCTTTCTATTGATGGGTCCTCACTTTGCCTACAGTCATAACACAGATGAATACATCTTTTTGTTAGATTGTTTGCAATCTAAGATTAAGGCAAGATGAGGGACCATATTATAACCATTACATTGCATTGCATTGCATCTTCTTTATAACGAGTCAATTTACTACGTCTTTATGTTGAGCAATATTCCAGCAGCTTCAGCCTTTGGTGTCTACATTTCACAACGTTTTAGGTGCAATCGAGCATGCTCTTTGTACCAATATTTCAAACAACGTCACACGAGTCTTACAAAAGATTGGTTGATCGGGGCTAGAGCAGTCAAGACAGCAGTAAAGATTTCAAATAGCTTGAGGTAGACATGTGGAGAACATTTCCAGATGTGGCGCATCAGTGACAAAAATTATGTCGGATGCAATTCCCTATTTTGACTTGTACCCTATTTGTTTTTGCCTCGACCACCTGGTATCTTCAATAGTTGAGAGTGATGTATAAGCAGATGTTCATGATATAGCCGGAATCGTACATTGGACTCTGCTTGAAGTGGAGATTTCTTATGATATTCGCATTTATTTACCAATTGATGGTGGTAGGTTACCCACTATACTTACTATACTATCAAGGCATCATTGTGTATCAGTTTAATCCATCGTTAGTTGTCTTTGTTGATAGAAACTAAAACGTAACTATGAACAACATTTACTACACGTTATAGGGTTTCCCAGTCATAATAAGTTGATGGTCAGTGATCTACTCAGCCTAGTGAATCTGGGTTATCGAGATGTGCCGCTCCCGTCTTACGCCCCATTAACCTAGCCTCGGGTATGTGATCCCGCATTTCGAATGTCTAAACACGGACGTTTTCCGCAAAGAAATCCGAAACAATGTTTTCTACTTGAAATCAAATTTGTATTTATATATTATGTACTATGATATTTATTTTTCTCTATTTTATTTGAATATTATTTATGAAAACAGATGCAGATGTAAGTTGCATCATTTAATGAACATGTGTCTTATAGGAGCACTTCTATGTTAGTTAAATAAACCTTCATCTGGCTTAATTAGAATGAATGAATGAATGAATGACATGTGTCTGCAAAGTAGGATCTTCTAACTTCAAAACATAAAAAACAATATTAGTTTCAATGTGTGCGTGCGTGTGTGTGTGTGTGTGCGTGCGTGCGTGCGTGCGTGCGTGCGTGCGTGCGTGCGTGCGTGCGTGTGAGTGTGCGTGCGTGTGTGTGTGTGTGTGTGTGTGTGTGTAATGTAGCTATCGATAGTGTTCTTTTGAGGCCTCTCTTACCTTCATGCTGGCTGAAATATCACAGGGGTACGTTGTAGCTGTCTTTCCGACCAGGCCCTGTAATATGTTTTGTACAAATAGGTATATTATATATGTATCATATATATTAGATAATGTCTCCAACAAATGCCTTTATAGAAATGATTCTTTTTCGGACTTTCAATACGCTTTTGTGAGCAATCCGTTGACAATGAAAGCACGTTAGATATACGCACTGACATATTATTGAAATGTGAACTCGCTGGCTTTTATTGGCAACATTAGTTTCGAACAAATATGAAAAGAGACGCGCAACACTGATTCAGTATTCTATACGACGAGGCGTTGCCACCAATATAGCAAGGGCTAGTTTATGAAAGCCTTTATGTTTTCAATACATGTTGTTTTATGGGTTTCATTGGGCTAAAGGGATTATGAATAGGAACTTATGTACACATAAATCTTTTAGAATATGTAGTTTTTATCATTATGCAGAGGAATGCAGTATATTAGTTATGTAGTTATAAACCCTGCACACATATAAACGTCGCGGTCCGAATACTATCTATCGTGGGACATATTTTGCAATAAATCAATTAGGTTTGTAGGTACCAGTTCGAGATGACAACGATGAGTAACAGGGTGTTTAAGGGGTTGTACCCCGTCACATACATTCTAAAACACGGGAGCCGAAACGTCATCGACGCATGCAAATAAAGGGTATATTACGGAAATATTACTTATCAATTTATGCAGTCAAAAACGTCGAAAGAGCAGGATGAAACGTTTTGTGTCGATTATTTTGGCTGCAGGAAACTGTCCTGGAACTTCACCCAAGACGCTTTCACTCGCTACATTTGTTACACACCAATTGACCATTTTGTGTTTGTTTGTTCCTTAACGCCACCATATTCCAGCTTTATGCCGGCGGTCCGTAAATAATTGAGTCTGGACCAGACAATCCAGTGACTGACATAATGAGCATCAACCCACACAATTGGGATACGATGTCATGTATCAACCAAGTCAGCGAGCCTGACCACCCGATCCCGTTAGTCGACTCTTACGATAAGCATAGTCGCCTTTTACGGCAAACATTGGTTGCTGAAGACCTATTCTGACCTGGATCTTCATGGGTCTCAAGCGATAATGTAAACACAATTTAACTAACAACAATTTGAAGAGGTCTGACGCATAGAGCCGTTTTGATCAGCTCGCGACACTCGGTGTCATGTAGATGACGGAACGTGATGAATGTGGTAAATGGCATCGGGATCACTCGTTGGTGGACCAAAGTTACAAGAAACTATTCCTACCCGCAATCTTCAAAAGTGTCCGTCACGACTTCCGATTAGTCTGGCAGTGTGGAACAGTGTTCCAGTAGAATCATGACAATCCAGACTACACAAGCCATAGTTATCTGTATAATTTTAAGGTATTTCATTAAGAAGGTATTTCACTGACATTGTATCTTAAGTGTCTAATGGTTAGGTTGGTCCAGACACCTATACTAAACACATACGAGGTTGTTTAAAGAAACAAAGTACGTCTTATCTTCTTGTGTCTTGATTGTCATCAAGAGTTCTGTGGTGTAGAAAGTAGTTTGTATTTTAGTAGAAATGATGCAAGAGGACTAGCAACCTAGTATATAAACTGACCACCAAAAGAAACTTTACCATAGCTTAAATCACTCTAGTTTAAAAACCACAAAAGATAGATGCATGAAGTAAAATGTAGAAATAGTAGGGCAACCGGAAGAAGGCATCCATCTATTGCTGAGCTGTCAATTTCTGTTAATGATGACCAGTGGTGTTCTCTCCTGCCCACAAATTCCTCCCCACCCCATAACACCCCTTCCACCATACTGCACGACACCCTGAAGTCAACATGCCGCCGTTCGTTCTCCCCTTCGTTTGTAAACACGCTGTCTTCCATCAACTCTGAAAAGACAGAACTGGATTTCATCAGTGAAGACAATCCTTTACCAGTCACAGCGCTGACAACAACGTACAGTCATCTGACGACGATGTTGCGCTGTCTATAACTGTCCTCTGTAAGGTCGGTAAGCCCTAATCAGTTGAGCCCTGAGTCGCCTGGCCACTGTCTATCGACTAACCATATGCCCTAAGGCATTCGTCGCTGATGACCTCACTGTCAGGAATCAATTCCGGAGATGCAAAGCACGCAAGTACCGGTCGTTATTGGGCGTAGTTACCCTGGGTCTGCCTGCTGGCCTGTCTGATGTCTGTCCAGTCTGTCTGTAACTTTGCATCATATTAATTACAGCAACAAGGGAGCAACCAAGATTCTAGCAATGTTGTCATGGTTGGCTCCCATATGTATCATATCCAGGGCCTGCTCGTATTTCTGTGGTTATTTTTTTTATCAGTGTGAGTGTCGTACATACCGTCCGTATCATTTATATACCCTTATTGCGCGTGTAGTTTCGGTTGCCCAAGCGGCACATAATTGTCATTTTCTTTTGCATTTTCTGCAAAATTACGTTACGTGGACGTGTATCACGTTCTGACCAGTGCATAGTTTTGTTTGGACGATGTGTTTTACTTTGATTCTGTTTGAACATTCGCCCCGATTATGTTTCTATGTTTGTCAGCACCATACCCGTGCTCGTGGGTTTCACCGAAGTGATAAACGCCTGAGCTCGAGACCTGCACCACTCAGGCTTACCTCCCACATTAATCTGACACGCCGCGATATAACTGGAATACTGTTAAAAGCGGCGTTAAACCCAACTCACTCACTCACTGTTTGAACATGTGTTTTTTTTAATTTATACAAATTCATTTTTAAAGTGGCCTTCAGTTTATGTTATTGAGGGTAACTTAGAGAAATGAAACTGATACAAACATTTCGGTGCACATATTATCTACGTCTGCATTTACCCAATTGCTCTGAGCATTTGATTGACTGAACGTGAACCCTGACCTTTACAGCACCGATTTTGCTACATTCAAGTCATTTGCTCATGTTTCGTTCACAGGAATACCTTTTATGTTTGTGCTAGAAAGGCAACAGAGGAACACAAATTGAAGTAATATTGTTTTTGAAAGTTTATTTTTAACTGCTACAATACTTGGCTTATACATACTGCGCATAGGACTATGTTGAGGACTTCCCGATTCGTTCACATTAAAGTACATGCATCGCAAGACAGATTAACAAAAGTAATATGAAATATCGTTGAGATACAACTAATATGGAATGCCAAGCAAAATGTTAAGTGTGTAACATGACTGTTGGTCTAATAAAGCTTAAACCCCGAAGAAATGTCGTGTTTGTGTTATGAATTAAAAACGTGAGTGAGCGAGTTTTTTTAACGCCGCTTTGAATATTATTTCAATTATATGTCCCCGTGGCAGCTTTCTGTACGCCTAGGGGCATAACTGTGCCTACTGTATGATATGTGTACAGTGTAGTGTGCAAACAAGCATGTGTCCAACCATTAAGATTTGTAAGGCACTTACAACATTTATATAGATGTCGATTAAAAAGTGAGTACCAAGCAACGACGTTTCACCGACACAATCACAAACACATTTGCAATACATTTGGCAATAAATGTGTCCTTGGTGATTAACCAACTAGATAACAGATACGGAAGAGAATAAAAATAATGTACATATACAAAAATAACAAACATCATAAACATATGTGAACACGTGTAAGACAATTACAGGTGTAATAAAATTTCCCACACAAAGAAACAACTATCCAGATGTTCAAAATGAAATAAGTACAATAAAAGACGTATAGTGTCGCTAGTTCTTTAAATAAATAAATAAATAAATAGATAGATAGATAGATAGATAGATAGATAGATAGATAGATAGATAGATAGATAGATAGATAGATAACATGTAACACGATCAGATTAACAAAACTACCTGGAGCTAAACCATACTGTATATTGCTTTGTTATAGTAATGGATGAAGCAGTTTCTGATATCAGCCTCTTCTCTGTCCAAATACAAAAATCAAAACCATATTTTATATATATAATATAATATAATATTCTATATTGTATCGTATCGTATAGTTGCCATACTTATACTTTCTTTCTCATGTCTTACTTTGATCAATGAGAGAAACACTTAATAAAGAGCTTCAGCAGACCTTTGTCCCTCTTTTATAGATAACTCTTGCTAGGCCAAAACAGCCCACTTAAATTTACGAGGAAACAGTCTCTACGTTCCACAAAGCAGTTATTTTTGTGAATGTAATTAAACACCCGGATGTTGGGGTCGGTGTTCGTTTTCTGATCCATTACGTAACCACGTCAGATGGGCAAGGAGAAGTTTGTGGTCGGTATACTACGATACATTAAAGACATATTTCACTCTGGAATTTGAAAAACTCCATGATTTTGTTCAAAGGGGGCTGTCGTATAGTCTAGTGGTTAAAGCGTTCGATCGTCAACGACGTTGGGAAATGTGTGAAGCCCATTTCCGTTATCCAGCGCCGTGATATTGGTAGTACATTGCTAAAAGCGCCGTGTTAAGTTAAAACCTGACTCACTGTAGTCAAACACCCGTCAGAATAAGACGTGGACCTTGGCTCTAAGACACGTGAAGATCCGAGTTAGAATTGATCTTCAGCAACCCATGTTTGCCATAAAAAGCGACTATGCTTGTCGTAAGAGGCGACTTACGGGATCGGGTGGTCAGGCTCGCTGACTTGGTTGATACATGTCATTGTATCCCAACTGTGTAGATTGATGATCAAGATGTCAATCACTGAATCGTCTCGTCCAGACTTGATTATATACAGCTCGCCGTCACATAGCTTTAATATTGCCGAGTGCGGCATTAAACAAATACCCACCCTACCCGGTCTAAATGCACGTAATGACACACATTCTGAAACACTAGACAATGAAATATTTGTCGAGAACACATCCCTTCAACGTAACTAATCTACAAAAATAACACTTTAGGTTAATATGTAACTTCAGGTCTCATTTTGGGGGAGACCTGCGTCGAGAATCCAGCCTGTCAGGACAGTCTTTACATGGCAACCTCGCGTCTACAATCAGCAGACTACAGGGGGTACTGTCGGTAAGTCACAGACCTAGCCACAACTATCTACATTCTACAGACTACATGTATATTCGATACTGTCGGTAAGTCACAGACCTAGTCACAACTGTCCACAATCTACAGACAATATTCGATACTGTCGGTAAGTCACAGACCTAGTCACAACTGTCTACAGTCTACAGACAATATTCGATACTGTCGGTAAGTCACAGACCTAGTCACAACTGTCCACAGTCTACAGACAATATTCGATACTGTCGGTAAGTCACAGACCTAGTCACAACTGTCTACAGTCTACAGACTATATTCGATACTGTCGGTAAGTCACAGACCTAGCCACAACTGTCCACAGTCTACATATTATATTCGATACTGTCGGTAAGTCACAGACCAAGCCACAACTGTCTACAGTCTACAGATTATATTCGATACTGTCGGTAAGTCACAGACCAAGCCACAACTGTCTACAGTCTACAGATTATATTCGATACTGTCGGTAAGTCACAGACCAAGCCACAACTGTCTACAGTCTACAGACTATATTCGATACTGTCGGAAAGTCACAGACCAAGCCACAACTGTCCACAGTCTACAGACAATATTCAATACTGTCGGTAAGTCACAGACCTAGCCACAACTGTCCATAGTCTACAGACAATATTCGATACTGTCGGTAAGTCACAGACCTAGCCACAACTGTCTACAGTCTACAGACTATGTTTGATACTGTCGGTAAGTCACAGACCTAGCCACAACTGTCCATAGTCTACAGACAATATTCGATACTGTCGGTAAGTCACAGACCTAGCCACAACTGTCTACAGTCTACGGACTATGTTTGATACTGTCGGTAAGTCACAGACCTAGCCATAACTGTCTACAGTCTACAGACAATATTCGATACTGTCGGTAAGTCACAGACCTAGCCACAACTGTCTACAGTCTACAGACTATGTTTGATACTGTCGGTAAGTCACAGACCTAGTCACAACTGTCTACAGTCTACAGACAATATTCGATACTGTCGGTAAGTCACAGACCTAGCCACAACTGTCCAGAATCAGCAGACTATATTCGATACTGTCGGTAGGTCACAGAACAATCCACAACAGTCTACAGACTATATTCGATACTGTCGGTAAGTCACAGACCTAGCCACAACTGTCCATAGTCTACAGACTATGTTTGATACTGTCGGTAAGTCACAGACCTAGCCACAACTGTCCATAGTCTACAGACAATATTCGATACTGTCGGTAAGTCACAGACCTAGCCACAACTGTCTACAGTCTACAGACTATGTTTGATACTGTCGGTAAGTCACAGACCTAGCCACAACTGTCCATAGTCTACAGACAATATTCGATACTTTCGGTAAGTCACAGACCTAGCCACAACTGTCTACAGTCTACAGACTATGTTTGATACTGTCGGTAAGTCACAGACCTAGCCACAACTGTCTACAGTCTACAGACTATATTCGATACTGTCGGTAAGTCACAGACCTAGCCACAACTGTCCAGAATCAGCAGACTATATTCGATACTGTCGGTAGGTCACAGAACAATCCACAACAGTCTACAGACAATATTAGATACTGTCGGTAAGTCACAGACCTAGCCACAACTGTCTACAGTCTACAGATTATATTCGATACTGTCGGTAAGTCACATACCTAGCCACAACTGTCCATAGTCTACAGACAATATTCGATACTGTCGGTAAGTCACAGACCTAGCCACAACTGTCTACAGTCTACAGACTATGTTTGATACTGTCGGTAAGTCACAGACCTAGCCACAACTGTCTACAGTCTACAGACAATATTCGATACTGTCGGTAAGTCACAGACCTAGCCACAACTGTCCAGAATCAGCAGACTATATTCGATACTGTCGGTAAGTCACAGAACAATCCACAACAGTCTACAGACAATATTCGATACTGTCGGTAAGTCACAGACCTAGCCACAACTGTCCATAGTCTACAGATTATATTCGATACTGTCGGTAAGTCACAGACCTAGCCACAACTGTCCATAGTCTACAGACAATATTCGATACTGTCGGTAAGTCACAGACCTAGCCACAACTGTCTACAGTCAGAAGATTATTTGAAGTCCATCTTTAGCATAAACTCATATCTATTTGTGGACGTTCGGGTATGTACATAAAATCTAACTTCTCCAGTGAGCTTTTCATTTGTTGGCATGTCAAAGTAAGATACATATTCATGCATATGACTAATATTCCCCACACGTCATAAACCTGTGATGTTTATATTAGGACATGGAGGCACGACGTCTTGCTTACGTGAATATCCTTACTACCCACGTGTCGCCAGCTGTTTTTTACTTTCTCTCATTTCAGCCACTCGGAGACGTATGTATCGTGTTTGGAAGCGGCTCTCACTGGCTGTAACACAACAACCCCAAACTTACTCAACCACACCCGAAACACACAAGCTGTTTACTGCGCCAGTGGTACGTATATCAGGAGTGGACAACCCTCAACACAAAGATATGCAAGACTATGTAATACATGGCCTGTATGTAAGATGAGTGTGAGTGCTTGTAAAAAGCTGTAGACTTTCACCACTTTGGTGAAACCCACGAGCACGGGTATGGTGATGGCAAACCTAGAAACATAATCAGGGTAATTTTCTATTAGAACCCACAATCATTTGTGTCCGCACGACTAAGGGAAAGCAAGCCTGTGCAGCGAATGGTGGTCTCAAGACTACCTGGTCCCCAGTGTCTCACATTTTATACCGTTGCATACACACCGTCTCAAGACCACTTACTGCACCAGTACAGCAAAATCGCAATTCTTCATTACCGGACGAACAGGTTTGAGCGTAAACGTATGCCTTTGAACCAGTCCTTATATGTTTGCGGGGGCACGGGTGGCCCAGTCGGCTAAGGCGCCGCGATTCGCTGTGCAGAGTTGCGTCTCTTGGGCACGCCAGAAACCTATGACTGTGGGTTCGAATCCCGGTTCGCCCCGATTATGTTTCTAGGTTTGTCAGCACAATACCCGTGCTCGTGGGTTTCACCGAAGTGGTAAACGTCTGAGACCTGCATCACTTCGGGCTTTCCTCCGACGTTAAGCTGACACGCCGCGATATAACTGGAAAACTGTTAAAAGCGGCGTTAAACCCAACTCACTCACTCATATATACGAGATCAATCAAATGGATACTCCTTCCAGTATCAGAGGCGATATATATAATTACACAACGTCGTAATCGACTATTCGAGTTAAAGGAGTTAACAACGTTTGGGTGTACGTGTACACACACATACGCAGACGAAGACGTAGACGCAGACGCACGCGCACACACACCGAAACGTTAACTCCTTTACCTCGAATAGTCAATTATGACGTTGTAAGTTGACGGTTCCGGCAGAATCCATACCAGTTGTCCGCTTGTCTAGATCCACAGATAACCCCGGTTATCTTGTCGAACGTCGAGTTAACGGCGTTTCACTGTACAAAGCTATCGTTGTGAAGAGTGGATGGGTGTGGTATGAGCAATATTCCAGCACTATAAAGCAGGGTACACCAGGATTTGGCTTCACATATTATACCCATGTAGCGAATCGAACCAGGGACTAAGGGTTGACGAGGGAACGCCTTAACCACAACGTTAGATTGTAATGAACAAATGATAAAAACACACCTACCTCATAGGTACTGTGTCAGTAAGAGCTAAAACAACTGTTGAAGAATTGGTCTTTGTGTCTTCCAGGAAATAATCCTGGCTACCAGGAGTGCCTGTCACGACACAGTGCCTGCCTGGCGATATACGACCGGTTCCAGGCGGGTCCGTCAAACACAGCCTGCAGGTACTGTATCCAGAGTGTGTGAGTGAGTGAGTGAGTGAGTGTTAATGTTCAGTGTTAACATTGTTTCAGTTCACGAGGTGTCAGTTTCAAATAGAAGGAATTCTGAAGAGTTTTAAGCAGTAGACATTTATTTCTTTTGCGGAATCTACGACACACACATGTATTGTCCTGACCTCGCCAAATGTATATTACATCACACACAACACACACCGTTACAGCCTGATTCATATTATTTTCAACAGCAATTCGGTCAACCAAATCACCATTTATTTCGTTCTGCCATAAATCTGTATTAAGTATTCTGCCCTGAAACTGTATTTAGTATTGTGCCCTGAAACTGGATTTAGTATTCTGCCCTGAAACTGGATTAAGTATTCTGCCCTGAAACTGGATTAAATATTCTGACTTGAATCTGTATTAAGTATTCTGCCCTGAAACTGTTTTAAGTATTCTGCGCTGAATCTGTATTAAGTATTCTGCCCTGAAACTGTATTTAGCATCCTGCACTGAGACCGTATTAAGTATTCTGCGCTGAATCTGTATTAAGTACTCTGCCCTGAAACTGTATTTAGCATCCTGCACTGAGACCGTATTAAGTATTCTGCGCTGAATCTGTATTAAGTATTCTGCCCTGAAACTGTATTTGGCATCCTGCACTGAGACCGTATTAAGTATTCTGCGCTGAATCTGTATTAAGTACTCTGCCCTGAAACTGGATTAAGTATTCTGCCCTGAAACTGTATTTAGCATCCTGCACTGAGACGGTATTAAGTATTCTGCGCTGAATCTGTATTAAGTACTCTGCCCTGAAACTGGATTAAGTATTCTGCCCTGTAACTGTATTTGGCATCCTGCACTGAGACCGTATTAAGTATTCTGCGCTGAATCTGTATTAAGTACTCTGCCCTGAAACTGGATTAAGTATTCTGCCCTGAAACTGTATTTGGCATCCTGCACTGAGACGGTATTAAGTATTCTGCGCTGAATCTGTATTAAGTACTCTGCCCTGAAACTGTATAAAGTATTCTGCCCTGAAACTGTATTTAGCATCCTGCACTGAGACCGTATTAAGTATTCTGCCCTGAATATGTATAAAGAATTCTGCCGTGAAACTGTATTAAAAATTCTGCTTTGAAATTCCAACGGAGAAACCTGTTATCAAAATAAACACACACCTAATGGATCAACGTCAAATGAATGTGTTGAACCCCGTTATATGCACTATTGTGATGTCCAAATTATCACAATGACGGATTGCAGAAAGCAATTAAATAATACAATAAAGGTGTCAAGCAAATATTTTATCTAATATATCTGATATGTGTATCGACGATTTTGGGTGTATTAATGCATTTAACATGTTGTCCGCAGCGCTCTGGAGCAGTATGTTGTGTGTGTTCTGCGTGATCTATCACCTTGTCATCAGTCAGTCTTCAACGTTACGTCTATGACTCTAGCATTGAATGACAGTGTCAGTTTGTCCTGCCGTAGAGGTGAGTGGGATGCATTTCATCAGTGGTAAATGACATATTGCTTAATATTCATATTCGGGGGAGGGAGGTTCATATTGAAGTAAGGGTTTGGTTTTTATTAGGGTTAGGGTCAGGGTTAAGTTTATATTAGAGTAAGGGTTGGGTTTATACATGTATTAGGTTAAGGGTCGTCGTAAAGTTAAGACACCAGGCTGAAACCTTATTTTAGAACTTGTCGCCATTGTATGATTGATGAAAATATACTTTAATAAGCATACAGAAAACAATATGAAAGTAATCCGGACATAATATGTTATTTCGCCCAAAAGTGATATCCACTTCATATTTTAGTCGATTATAGTATGTTGTCCCTTAACACAAAAAACAAGTTCATTGACCGTTCTTGTATAGAAATGAAGAATTCTTTTGCCCAATTCTTTTGCTTGCTCCGAAGTTTAAACATTTACCGGTCTTATACCTAAAAGTCATTATAGTATCGATGGATCAAACAACGGCAATATATACCATTTCAATTGTAAATGGTGTACAAATCGAGGATGTACACGTGTCATTGCTTCTCCTCCCATGTTGTGATCTTTGTAGAAACTGGGAACACATCGTGCGCTGGCCAGTACATCACGTGCCAGACTACGTCACTCCTGGTCACCCAGAGTTTGGAGGAGAAGAAATGGGATGACTTTTGCAGGTCAGTCTAGACGTGAGGCAACACACGGGCACTTGCTACATTATGAAAATAATGTGAGTGGCAGGAGCTACTGCTAAAGAGGACACGTTTACCCTTTTCGCTGACACCGGGTGTCATTACCGATGTTCAGTGATCCATTCATATCATTTTCATCACTATTTTACGCCCAATTGAATCTGTTTCGGCAGATGCCTTTTTTCTCATAACACAGATATATGTTTCAGGATTGACATGTACACTTAGTCTTGAACATCAAATATCGTTACTTTGTAAGAAAACGGACAGATTTATGGATGACAACTTCTGGTTTATTGTACGTTTTCTTACTTACTCACCAACTGTAAGAATGCCAATCAAACAGATCGTTACTTTGGCACACATCTGATGTCATGAAATAATCCAGATGCTGTGTATTTCTGAACGTTATTCGTAACATGACGTGATATCATCTTAACCAAAAATACAAGCGACAAAACCATTTCCATATTCATAAAACAAATCTCTGCCCCAAACAGAGTCGATTGTACAACGATATACAACGCATTTTGCAGCACGTCCCTGCGGGACTCTGACTCTCGAATTCATGTGTGTTCAGTTATACGCGTAATGGTATACGTAGTACCATACAAAATTGCCGAATAAATCCGAATCATACATTCGAATGACACAATCTTTATGGAATCCGTCTATTGCTGTCAAGCATTCCAAGAGCTGTATTCTAATTTGGTGTGAATTTGCAGCTTTTATTACACTGTACTAATCAGTCAGTCAGTCTGTATGTGGCCCGGTGGGTCCCGATGGGCTGCATGTACGTGAGTGAGTGAGTTAGTATGTTTTTACGCCGCTTTTAGAAATATTCCAGCAATGTCACGTCGGGGGACAACAGAAATTGGCTTCACACAATGTACCCATGTCGGGAATCGAACCAGGGTCTTCGGCATGACGAGCGAACGCTTTAACCACTAGGCTACCCGACCGCCCACTGCATGTACGCAAAGGCGCTTCTCAGATATAATGTACAGTTCAATGACGGTTGAAAAAAATTTGCAACGGTTTTTTGTAGGCAACAACTAGGCATTTAGGACCACTTGTTTACTATTAACATCTCGCTGTGTATTTCTGTTAAAACTGATTAAGGTTATTTTCATTGCTGTCAACACCTCGTGGTATATTTCGTTTAAAAAATGCTTGTGATTAAGGTTCGCTTTTCTGTCAACACCTCGTGGTATATTTCATTTAGAACTGCTAGTGATTATGAAGGTACACTTTATTGCAGTCAAGACCTATCCTATACTCAGCTATGTATATTCCTTCCAAAGCAATACATACACCTTGTCTTACACGCACTTCTCCCCAGCTATGCTGATGCCTTCCTGGCGTGTAGGAGAAGTCTGCAGGATGACTGTGACGACATCTACACCACAGCAACAGCATTGACATTGCCGGGAGAGGTGGTGACGAACGATAAAGCAATGTATTGTAGTCCAGACGGTAAGCTTGTTGAACACTTGATCACTAGTCGGATGTGGTTACCGCTGTGGTAAAGTTTTAGAAAATCTAATGAACATGTTTGTCATGGAATGAACGAACTTGGTTCAAATCTTCCTGTAACATCTGGCAGTTCTAAAAGAGAATGACATTCAGGTAATACAATGATTAAATATGAATCAATAATGCTGCATTTGTCACAAAATGCTACCAATGAGTTAAGGAAATGAATGGTCAAAGATGTATTTTTGAAATAATTGTTTCTATCCATTTCATGTCATTAGGATCAAGTCCAAGCTATTTGTCATGTTTAACAAAACTAAAGTCCTGCGAATCACGTCTTTATATAACGGGCGACATAGACAACACTGTGGTCCTTTATTACTGTAGGTGAGTATACATATATCTTGTCGATATACAGGTATACAAGGCATTCATGCTGGGAAAACAGGTGTATATCCTCGAGCATTTCAGTTATGCAACAATATGTGGATGCCACACCCATTAATTTCCACTAGTAATCAATCCCTTAGACGAGTATATCGAAATTGTGGCCTTGCATCGTTGTATGTCATGGCATACGTGATAAAAATAGTTTAATATATAATGACATGTTTACAAGATAGACATACGTTCAGTGTAAAGCTAGGTAACCTACAGAGTTGATGGTGGGCGTTCTGTTCCATGATCAGTTTAGCCCTGTTAACTCTACAGGTAACCTAACTCCACATTGAAAACAGCCTATTCTCCTTCATTCTACCATGACGAAAGCAACACGAATATATTGGTGTTAACTATTGAATCTAACTGTGTTAAACACTGAGTCAAAGGTTTGGAGCAGGTTGTTGAAAATGTATGAAGAGAATACGGGCAATAGTCTTTAAAAATGTATGTCGTTGTACTTTACTCGAGCTCAATCCCTGTGCTTTTTCATCAATATGTACTGAAACACTTTGAAAACGCATGACTCTCGAAACCAGTGACTAGTAGCTTATACCCAGGTATGAAAACGTGAATGAAGGTTCAACCTCAGACAACGTTATTCAAATCTTGCATGCCTTCAGGCCTCACTACCACACACCAATTTGTGGGGGCACGGGTGGCCCAGTCGTCTAAGGCACAGCGATTCGATGTGCAGAGTTGCGTCCCTTGGATACGCCAGGAACCTATGATTGTGGGTTCGAATCCCGGTTCGCCTCAATTATGTTTCTAGGTTTGTCAGCACCATACCCGTGCTCGTGGGTTTCACCGAAGTGGTAAACGTCTGAGACCCGCATCACTTCTGGCTTTCCTCCCACATTAAGCTGACACGCCGCGATAAAGTGGAACACTGTTAAAAAGCGGCGTTAAACCCAACTCACTCACTCACTCACTCACACCAATTTGTTTGTTTTCTCTCAGTTCGCTGAAAACATTTCCCAAATCCACTATTCGTTTTCATGGGGTGTCAGAATGCTTGACTGAGTTTCATTAACATTGAAACTACTGCTTCAGCAAACATTATATTATTCAGCCTAAATAAGATGAAGCAGTCATCCCACTATCATGACGTCACACAGAAAAATATTTCGGAGACAGACAACGCCTAATTTCTAGCTTCTGTTGTCTCAAAAACATATGAACCATACTCCAGACAATGTCAATGACAATCATTAGGAGGAAGTACTGTTCTTTTAATATTAGCTTGCGCCATGAACTGGTCAACAGATGTGGTTATTGTGATTTGAAACCCTTGCTGGACCAATCAGATTCAAAATATTGCAAAGTCAGGATAGGATCCCCATTTGTTTTGTTTTAAATATTTTCACTCACTCACAATATCTTTAATTGAATGGAACAGGTTATAACAAATCATAACATTGTTTGTATCAGGTGCATATTTTTTTCAAACGTTATAAGTATTATGCAAGATATTGGCTTGTGAGACTGTGTAATTGTAAATATCCCATTGAACGTTACGTACGTTACTCACAGCTGCGATGTAATGGTCAAGACAAAGCACCTGCTGAATGCCGAGGGTTCGAGGTTTAGGTTAAGCAATACCATAGAGGGTTATTGTTTCTGTGTGCAGGTCGCTGGTCGATTACAGGGCGTGTCTGTCACAGGACCTGGCAGCGTGTCAGCAAGACACCATCAGTCTTCCGAGTCTGTTGGCCTCGGCCACTGCCAACTTCACCAGGACGTGTTCTGGCATCAACAGTGAGTAGCATTTTCACTTATCTTAGAAAGGGGCCATGGGTTGTCTGAGGGTCGTCTGAGGTGCCGCAACTGGCTGTGCAAAGAGTTGTGTCCCTTAGGCATGCCAGGCACCTATGATCCCATATTTGCCCTGATTATGTTTCTAGGTTTGTCAGCCTGACCTGTGTCATTTTTGTCTTCCCTCCTTGAATAAGATGACAGGCCAATTATTACACAAATGCTGTTCAAAGCGGCGTTAACCTCTTATCAACTTATTTAAAAAGCATCTGTAGCTGTGTCTAATAGAATGTGATGACTAAAAATGTGTCACTCATGTCCTAAACAAAATATCACAATACACGTAATAATACATGACACGATAATTACATGAGATCTCCAGTAACCTTTGCTTGAGAGGCGACTGTCTGGATGGGTTGTAACTTGGATGATAGTGTACCCCGACGGCGTGCGACGGTACGCATAACTGTGAGGGACATTCTCGACATCTCACATTCTCGGACTTAAGGCTTATCTAGCTTGTTTCCAAAGGTCCAGATCGGAACAGGCGAGAACGAGAGAACGCGAGAATGTCCCTCACATCCATGTCCTATACATAACACCAATCACTGCATGGTAGGTTTGATTCACATTCGATTATTTACAGACCGCTATAGTGTGGCATTTATCAGCAAACAAACAAAGGCAGTAGCTTTCAACTATACGTAACAGCTTGTTAAACCTATTCAATGAACACGTACTGAAAACAAAATAATGTTAAAAACGGTGCACTGATCAATCAGGTGTGATACATACGCGGGAACATATGTTGTGTTAAACATTAACATGCCAATACAAGTTTGCGTGCTATATCAAAGTGTTGTCGTCATCTGCGTGGCGAGGCACAGCTCGGTGATTAATATTGCATGTCCTATAGCCATAAGCAATCAGAATGCTTCATGGTGCGTGTGGATTGCTTAATAGTGTATGTGACGTTTCGTCAGGTACTTTTATAAGTACATGTTTCCCCGCTATTGTGTTACCGTCATCTGTAAATAGACATAATACTATTATTATTATTATTATTATTATTGTTATTGCTGGTTATTATTATCATTACTGTTTATCTTGATCACTGGTAATTATTATTATTGCATTGGTTATCTTTTGGGGTTATCATTATTATTATTATTATTATTTTGTGTGTGTTATAGTAACCATATAATTTCTTCTGATGTTAACATGATGCTATTTCAAGCAACATGTGGTTTCATATGAATCATTTGTGATATACGCCTTATGCGCATGGGACGTTAGTTGCTGAAGTTCCCAGTACTTGACCTATCCTATTACATGCAGCACCATATTCACCTAGTTTAATGTGTGTTTCAGTAAATGCTGGAGTCCGGGAAATGAGCTGTAAGTGATATAATTACATAAAGCGAACCCCCTTTAATCCACTTTAAGAAACGTCAATACGGGATGTCCTGTATACTCAGTACAATCCACATGTTAACCGGAACAAGGCGTTACTGTACACATCATATCTCATCAAGTCTCGACAATCGGTGTTTCACGTATAAACGTAATGCAAATGTATTAAATATTTTTGTGGTAAATCTACATGTACATGTGATAAACATGTAAATAAGATGTATATTATGTTCATTTTATGACTCGTCCGTGAAGAAATCACCCGTTTTTATAACAATACACCTTTACTACACATTGTGTAATAACATCAGATGCAGTCGGGACTACTTTGGGCATCGGCTGGTCATTGGAATGAAAGGGGCACGGGGGCCTAGTCGTCTAAGGCGACGCGATTTGCTGTGCAGAGTTGCGTCCCTTGGCCACGCCAGAAACCAGTGATTTTGGGTTCAAATCCCGGTTCGCCCCGATTATGTTTCTCGGTTTGTCAGCGCCATACCCGTGCTCGTGGGTTTCACCGAAGAGATAAACGTCTGAGATCGGCATCACTTCTGCCATATAGCTGACACGCCGTTATATAACTGGAATAATGTTAAAAGACGCGTTAAACTCAACTCACTCACTCATTGGAATGAGGTTCGGCAGCACTGTGCAAGCGTTAGATACGTTTTTAAATACACCCATAACAAAAACGATATCTTCCGGGGATTCGTTCAGTAATATATAACATTATACTAATTTCCAGTAATATATAATATCCACCTCCTTTGTTGCAGGTTCGTCAACAATGCTGTTGCTGCTGGTGACGTGGGTTGTTTTGTTGTGTCGTTCCTGACGAAGCAAGACGATGGCGCGACACTCCAAATTGAACATTTTATGTATAAAAATGGCATATATTACAAACTTTACCAACGTTAGATGTACTGCCGTCTAAATTTGGTTGAACTCTATTGAGCTGTTCATCTAAAGGGTATCGTCATGTCGTTGTATGCAGTTGTACTCAGGGTTGAATGTTGTACTGTTAGGGGCAAACCATTTAAAACTCAAAGAGTGGGTATATGTGTAAGACCCACAACACATGTTTTTGTTGTTGCTTGTTTGTTTTTCGTTTTTCGTTTTTTTTCTTTGGGGTTTCTTTTTCCTTTGTTGTTTCTCCTCTTTTATTTGGTTGGGGGTGGAGAGGGGGTAAAGGATGAGCATTTCTCATTATATTTTTTTCAAAACATTCAAGCCCCACCCCCAAACAGCCGCTCCCTCCCCTAAATATCAAATGATGAAATTATATATACGATATTTCCAGTATTGTGGAACCCATGTATATACAGACAAACACCGTTGTGTCCGAGTTGAAGGGATCTCCGTAAATACTCCGAGTTATCCGAAGTTCAACACAACCGAAATATGATGAATGAAGAAGGGACACGCAGGGGACCAAGTTTTTACTTTGAGATAATCGTAAGTTCGACAGAACGGTGTGTAATAGTAATGCATAAATATATAGACTATATGCAATTAAAGAGTTTCTTGTCTTGTGGCAACAAACAATACGGATTAATTCGGATGAAAAGATGATTTTTGTAATCTTTCAAAGAACTTCTCGAACTGTTTCTGGCTAGTTACATGAGGACCTGTAGCTGGAGATATAACAGATTGTGCAATGTAATACAGGCTGGTGATATAGTGAGTGACGGAGCTGTGTTGCGCCGCATTACACTCTAACCTCAACGGAATTCAAAGTATATATGCACAAACATGCATGTAAATTCTAATCCATTTACTACTAGAAGGCACGCTTACATATGACACCTCTCTGGCACAGGCCGCCTCCGTGGATAGAGTGTCTGCCCCGAGAGCGGAAGGGGTTCGATCCCGGATGCGTCATACCGAAAGATGGTACTTGTTGTTACCCTGTCTCTCGCTCGTCATTAATGGGATAAAACAACGCCTGGCCCGGAGGCAATGCTGTTTCTGAGTAGGGTATTCATGTTGAACTGCGGCATGGTAGCATTAGCCCGGACTAGTGCAAGCAAGCAAGCACGCACGCACGCACGCACGCACGCACGCACGCACGCACGCACGCACGCACGCACACGTGCGATAATCTTGAACATGACGTTAATCCCCATTTCACCTCGCCACTCCTCTGTGGTACACTGTACTCATGACGTTTACACAGTTCTAGTGCACATGCAGTCCACGTATCATAGGTGTACCATAGATGATGTATAAGATGTATAAACTGTCATATGAAACCTCACTTGCGGTAAAAATGTCACCACAAAACACTAAAAAAAACAACGAATATGTCAAGCAAAACACTAAGGATTTTCGGGGGCACGGATCCTCCTACATTAAGCTAACACGCCGTGATATAACTGGAATACTGTTAAAAGCGGTGTTAAACCCAACTCACTCACTCATTCACTCACTAAGGATATTTGGCATGATAACCAATGGTATGGAAAAGGAACTGAAATAGTTAGGTACTGATGTGCGACTATCGTTGAGGACGTAAGCCGAACTAGTGAGTGAGTGAGTTGGGTTTAACGCCGCTTTTAACAATATTCCAGTTATATCGCGGCGTGTCAGCTTAATGTGGGAGGAAAGCCTGAAGTGATGCAGGTCTCAGACGTTTACCACTTCGGTGAAACCCACGAGCATGGGTATGGTGCTGACAAACCGAGAAACATAATCGAGGCGAACCGGAATTCGAACCCACAATCATAGGTTTCTGGCCTGCCCAAGAGACGCAACTCTGCACAGCGAATCGCGTCGCCTTAGACGACTGGGCCACCCGCGCCCCCGTAAGTCGAACTAATGACGATTGGACATAATTATGGTCACGTCGCGTTCGATAATTACACCACATGACACAAAACTAAAAAGTACATATTTTGTTGAAATATTCATTAAAAACAGTCCTGTTGACAGCAAAGCAATAAAACTGAGACCATGAACAACTACCAGATTAAAACTGGATTTTGTCGTCTCATGTATCATACATTGATCTCACAGGATAATATACATTGACAGCAAATCAATGAACATTCACAAAACGACAAATTGTATCACATTTTAGACCTTTAGACTGTAGAATATTTGATAGCATGCTAATTGTAACACATGAGAAAGGTGTGACAATTTTGGAAAACAATTAATCTGTTCTTGATGAATTTTTTTGTGGTAATAAAGTATTTCCAAACGGTATTCGACAAGATAACAGCGGTAGTATATGAAACAATAACCTTGAAAAAAACATTTATAACATGACTGGCAGTCAGAGTCAAAGATAGTGAGAAGTCAAGGTCATGGCTAATAGGGGATTGCCTAAAAGTCGGGCCAAGAAAAGTCGGGCCGAGCCGGGCCAGTGGGTAATACTAAAAATGGATTGCAGAATAATAAAACGAAACGTGCATATCTAGGCAGATCTCAAATGTCCAGAAACGGATAGTTTTGCTCATTTAATTGAGTTTGAATCAAAATGTATCTTCAGCAATGTAATAAACTGATAATTATAGCTACATACCGAGAGTTTATACCGAAAAGTCAGTGTCTTGACTGTGTCTTTACTTTGATGAGAAGGTTTCTCACCGACCTTAGCGTGCAGGGCTGTGATGTCCTGGGCAGGAATTCGAAATGACAGTGTTTTGACTACTCTTCTTTCATTAATTAACGTGTTTGGCATACCTAATTAACCTTTACTAATTCATGTTAAACCAACACAGGGTGTTTTCTGCAAGTGGATATTCGCGAATGTCATAGGACTGACACGACACGTGTTAATAACTGTCAAAGCGCTTCTAAAATTACAACACATACTTTACATCTATAGACTAATTATAATATCATATCTACCTATATAACACTTTAGTGTCTCATATTGCAGTAGCAAACACGGTGCTCAAAAGTGAAGCCCTTTTCCCTCTACATTCTCTCTATCAGAAGTGTTTGGCTTGTGTTGGGTCCGACTTGGCCCGGGTGGTTAAAATCAACTTTAAACACACCGACGTATCTTCAAATCTGTTTACATCTATAGATTAGTGTTATATCTACCTATATACCACTTTATTATGTCACGTTACATCGTATTTAAAGAATACAAGGGGCTCAAAGTAAAGCATTTTTACTGTATTTTCTTAAGAAAATCTATGTCAGAAGTGGTTGGCTTGTGTTGGGTCCGACTTGGCCTGGGCTGTCAAAATCAACTTTAAACACACATATGTATTTTCAAATGTGTTTACATCTATAGATTAGTGTTATATCTACCTATATACCACTTAATAATGTCACGGTACATCGTATTTAAAGAAAAGAAGGGGCTCAAAGTGAAGCCCTTTTCCCTCTACATTCTCAACATAGTCTCTATCAGAAGTGTTTGGCTTGTGTTGGGTCCGACTTGGCCCGGGCGGTCAAAATCAACTTTAAACACACAGACGTGTCTTCAAATGTGTTTACATCTATAGATTAGTGTTAAATCTACCTATATACCACTTTATAATGTCACGATACATTGTATTTAAAGACAAAAAGGGGCTCAAAATGAAGCCCTTTTCCCTTTACATTCTCAACATAGTCTCTATCAGAAGAGTTTGGCTTGTGTTTGGTCCGACTTGGCCCGGGCGGTCAAAATCAACTTTAAACATACAGGCTTATCTTCAAATGCGTTTACATCTATAGATTAGTGTTATATCTACCTATATACCACTTTATAATGTCACGGCACATCGTATTTAAAGAAAACAAGGGGCTCAAAGTGAACCATTTCTACTGTATTTTCTTAAGCAAAACACTTCTGATAGAGACTATGTTGAGAATGTAGAGGGAAAAGGGCTTCTCTTTGAGCCCCTTGTTTTCTTTAAATACGATGTAACGTGACATTATAAAGTGGTATATAGGTAGATATAACACTAATCTATAGATGTAAACACAGTTGAAGATACGTCTGTGTGTTTAAAGTTGATTTTGACCGCCCGGGCCAAGTCGGACCCAACACAAGCCAAACACTTCTAATAGAAACTATGTTGAGAATATAGAGGGAAAAGGGCTTCACTTTGAGCCCCTTGTTTTCTTTCAGTACAGCGTTCTGAGACACTATAAAGTGGTATTTAGGTAGATATAACACTAGTCTATAGGTGTAAACACATTTAAAGATAGATCTGTGAGGTTTAAGTCGATTTTGACAGCCCGGGCCAAGTCGGACCGAACACTTCTGACAGAGATTTTCTTAAGAAAATACAGTTAAAATGCTTCACTTTTGAGCACCTTGTTTTCTTTAAAAACGATGTACCGTGACATTATAAAGTGGTATATAGGTAGATATAACACTAATCCATAGATGCAAACATATTTGAAGATACGTCTGTGTGTTTAAAGTTGATTTTGACCGCCCGGGCCATGTCGGACCCAACACAAGCAAAACACTTCTGATAGAAACTATGTTGAGAATGTAGAGGGAAAAGGGCTTCACTTTGAGCCCCTTGTTTTCTTTAAATACGATGTACTGTGACACTTTAAAGTGGTATTTAGGTAGATATAACACTAGTTTATAGGTGTAAACACATTTAAAGATAGATATGTGAGGTTTAAGTTGATTTTGACAGCCGGGCCATGTCGGACCCAACACAAGCAAAACACTTCTGATAGAAACTATTTTGAGAATGCAGAGGGAAAAGGGCTTCACTTAGAGCCCCTTGTTTTCTTTAAGTACAGCGTTCTGAGACACTAAAAAGTGGTATTTAGGTAAATATAACACTAGTTTATAGATGTCAACACATTTAAAGATAGATCTGTGAGGTATAAGTTGATTTTGACAGCCCGGGCCAAGTCGGATCAAACACTTCTGACAGAAATTTTCTTAAGAAAATACAGTTAAAATACTTTACTTTGAGCCCCTTGTTTTCTTTAAATACGATGTAACGTGACATTATAAAGTGGTATATAGGTAGATATAACACTAATCTAAAGATGTGAATCCATTTGATGATACATCAGGGAGGTTTAAGTTGATTTTGACAGCCCGGGCCAAGTCGGACCGAACACTTCTGACATAGATTTTCTTAAGAAAATACAGTGAAAATGCTTCACTTTGAGTATCTTGTTTTCTTTAAATACGATGTACCAAGACAGTATAAAGTGGTATATAGATAGATATAACACTAATCTATAGATGTAAACACGTTTGAAGATACATCTGTGTTTTTAAAGTTGATTTTGACCGCCCGGGCCAAGTCGGACCGAACACTTCTGACAGAGATTTTCTTAAGAAAATACAGTAAAAATGCTTTACTTTGAGTACCTTGTTTTCATTAAATACGATGTACCCTGACATAATAAAGTGGTATTTAGGTAGATATAATACTAATCTAAAGATGTGAATCCATTTGATGATACATCTGTGAGGTTTAAGTTGATTTTGACAGCCCGGGCCAAGTCGGACCGAACACTCCTGACATAGATTTTCTTAAGAAAATACAGTTAAAATACTTTACTTTGAGCCCCTTGTTTTCTTTAAATACGATGTACCCTGACATAATAAAGTGGTATTTAGGTAGATATAATACTAATCTA